AATATTTAAATTTTATATATTTAAACAAAAGCACTTAAAATATAATAATATGCAGTAATTCATGCATTAGTAATTATATTTATAATAAAATCTTTCAATATTTAAATATTTCTTAATCCTAAAACCTGAGCACTGAATGTAGGACAGTTTATGTTTATGCCCCTTAGGGGTCAAAGATCATTCTGTAAATATTTTATTGTCAAATTTTTTTTTACAGAGTTTAGTGGTATTCTTAATGGATTATAAAAATGTTTAGATATAATTGTGATAAAAAATTTTCACTAATAAGTTTATTAGAATATATAAATTAATTTCATTACATATATATATTTTTAATCATGTAAATTCATAAATAAAATACTTATGAATCATTATAATAGAAATTTTTATTTATAATGTAATATAAACATCGATTAACTAACTACATATTTTTCTAATGTATCTTGAATATATATTTTTATTTATTTTACTCGTATATTATATATTAAAAATTAAACATTAATATATATAAATTAATCTTAGTTGAATTCTTTCCGTTCTTACAGTTTGTAATGATGTCTTCTACTCATATTCATATCGAAAGACAGAATTATTTACTTTAATATTGATTTCATTACAATAAAAATTACATTTTTTTTCATTTTTAATATTATGTATACATGGTCTTTTTTATTTAATTATGTAAAAAAAAATGTAGCATATGCTATTTAGTTATTGGGACACTAGGAACAATCAATGAGTTTTTTCATATAAAGAAACTCTATGTATATTGGTTAGTAAAAGTATTTTTTCCTTATATCTGATTTTTGTTTATAAATATTAAATGTCTTCACGAAATAATAATTTTATGTGTTATAAAATATGTTTCTTACAGGGGAAACTTGGAAACAATTCAGTGTAATGTTAATGAGTTATAATCATTCTTTTTATTTCATTTATTGTATTTTCCTTTTTTATGAAAAATATCTTAATAAACTGTTTTAATTTATATAATTATTTTTTTCTCTGTGCGTTTTTTTAGCAATTAGCTGTATCTTTTGGATTAGATTTAACTTCAGAAAAATTCTATGACAAATTAAATGATATGAGAGATTTTAAGGAGTACTATGGCCATTGTGAATCCTTAGAATCTCTGAAAAATGGCACTGACGTTAAAATAAACTGTGCAAAGGTTTTAAAATATATAAAAACTTATTCAGATTATATAAATAAGAATGACGCCTATGACATATGCCTACTTTTAAATTATTGGTTAGCAAGTAGATTAGGTGCCCTTGTTTTTTACAGTAATCCTTCATATGTGATGGATGCCTTTTTGAGAATTACATCAATATGGAATGAGTTTATTGTAGACGAAATAAAGAAAACTCATGATAAAACATGCAATCCTGATGCAAGTATTATTGCTCTTCGTGACTGGAGGCTAAGGAAGGAAGTTTATGATTACTATGTGGACTATGATTACCTTCTTCGTATGTCTGATATATCAAAAAAATCCAGAGATTATTGTGCTTATATTAGAACAAAAGTTGCATTATATGAACATTATAATACTGTTTGTATTTCAGATGAAACACCTTTCTGCGATAAATTTAAAATTAAATATAAATATTGTGATCCAAAAGAGCTTTTACTTAAGTTTGAATGTGAAGAAGAAATGAAGCAAATGAGGTTATTAGAAGAACAGGATGGTAAAGAATCATCCCAAGATGCACCATCAGAAGGAACAGAGTCTGAACTTGAAACGTCATCTTTTGGGTTGTCCTCAGAAGGAGCACAAACTGTTAACGATTTACAGAAAATATATAATAGATTTAGTCCTTTAAAAAAGACAGTAGGTGCAATTTTGGGAATCCTTGCTATACTTATGAGTTATGCCTTTTTACATAATGTAAAGAAGCTCATTAATTTACATAAAATATATATATTTGTTTATAATTTTCATGGACTATATAGCTATGAATGATAGTTAAATGTATTGCATATTTTATGTAATATTCATTTATATCAAAGTTTACATGCTTAGGAAGTTTTATCCGTAATAGATTTTCTAATAAAAATGGTACAAGAAGTAGTATAAATTTTGATTTTAATGCAGCATTTGATTGTGCACAAGAATTATATAAGCCGCGTTACAATATTAGAGATGAACATTATATAGGTTATCACTCCTATTAATTTTTTATATAATCAAAGAAATAATTATAACAATTTATTAAAAATATATAT